GGAGCTCGCATGCTGCTGTTCTCCATAGGTTCTGCTCCAGACATTTTAGCTCGGCAATGACATGCCAAGCATTATGCCAATCTATGCCAACTGGCGGCGTCTCCGCAGGCATCTGCAGTACTGGTCTGATTGCTTATCCGCAGTCGAATGCGGTTTGGGTCAGCCTGGAGCTGCTGAAATCGGACATGACCAGCTGCCTTTCACCCGCCCTAGTGTTGGTACAATGGTTCCCGCTTCCAAGCCTTACCTTTCTGATGAGCTTCTGTCGGTTCTCATGGAGCTTGGGTCCACTTCGGGTGCAGAGCTGCTTGAGGCTTTTTGTTGGACCCTTTGGCGTACTACTTAACATCTTGCGCACTTGGCTCGGCTCCCTCCCAGATGGACCTTTGCGGGACACCGCTGCAGACCTTCTACCCGGAGTATCTGCGCGATCATGAACATGTGCCCAAGCACAATTTGGCTCTTGAACCTGACGGAGAGGCAAGGGTCCCTTGGATTCTGCCGGTTTTCCCGGACAGCTGCATCACCCGGCGTCCCCTGCCCACAGTGGTTACGGGCTCTTGGACTTGGTGCACTTGGCCAGATCCCTCTGGACCTGAACTCCGTTCACGCTGACATCGCTTTCGCCCGATTCTGCAGTTTGGATTTCTTTGCCACCTCCATCCCTGCCTGCGCACCAGCCTGGCATTTTGGGTCAGCGCAGTAGCACCTACTTGCAGCGATTGGCCTTGCTCCACAGGCTGCGTATTCAGGCGCACCAGCATGCCTGCAGCTCTGCGGGTGTTAGGCCAGGCGATTGGTCGCAACTGGATCCTCACTAAGGGAGCGTTCGGTTTGTCTTTCACTGTGTTTCACCTAGAAGTTAGTAGCTACAGGCGTGTCTTCTCAGACTCTAAGGTCTCCCGAAAGAAAAAGGTGCAGGGGGCTATCTATCTACATACATATACGGGCACTTGCCCCATCGCAGGAGCAACGACATCGTGTCTCCCTGCTGAGTGCAGTTCGGCTCTTGGCGCGGAAGACATGCTGCGCTGGTCTGGCAGTTTAGGGTTTCGGGCTCTTGATGCCAGCTATCCCTAAACCCTAAGCCCTAAACCGGAAACCCTAACCCCTAAAGCTAAACTCCTAAACCCGGAAACTCTCCATTGCTCCACGAGGCCGACACCACACTCGCATGCCTGGACGACCGCATTGCCGAGCCAGCGCTGACAACACCTGGCGGAGAGCTAGGCCCGATCCAGGAGTCCCACTAGTTTTTATCTGTTTCCACCATAGATGACCATGTATCCAGCCATTTTTGTATGTGTGTGTGGCTTGAACTATATAGTTTCTCTATTGGGTCGCCTTGGGGTTGTGAAGGCAATCCATTTGCCGTCTTTGGATGTGAATACTCATGATTTCCGTTGCTTTTTGAATGATAAGATGTCAGCCAATTAGCCTTGCATTCTTGGGTTCAGGTTCATTCTGTAATTACAGGGTGTCAGTCTTTTGTGTAGGCAGTCCTTGACATGAAATCAGGCACTTTTCTTGCTTGAGGTTAGCATGTAACAAGCTCTGCTGTTTCCTGGACCTCGGAGCACAGGTTGCTTCTTAAATTGGGAGGGGGAACGCGTGTGCTTTGGTTTAAGCCATTTGGCTCTTCGAAACAACTGCTGCAGTTTGCCAGAGGCACATGCCACTTGATTGACGGTTGACACTTCTGCAGGTGAGTTTACCATGGCCTTAGCGGCTTATCTTCAGGAGAAGGTCTGCTGTTGATCTTGTGCAATTGAGCCTGCATCGCCGTTGACGGTGTCACAGGAAGGCTGTTCATGCAACCAAGCCCTGTGCTTTGGACTGGTGCTCTAGAGAAATGTTTTCAACACACGTTGCATGTTATCATGGTAGAAGCACATCGGTTCGGCTCGTAGGACGGCTCTTCTGGCAGCCTTCCCAATCAGGAGGTGGTGTGAGCCTTACAACACACCTTTCAGTCAGCTTTGATTGCCCTTCCTCACTGGGGCAATCCTCTCCGGGCTCCAGCTAAGGTGGACTCCCTTCTGGCCAAGTATGTGCATACGGTGCTTGGCCTGTCTCGCTGCAGTGGGAGTTTGTGCCACATGCCACAGACCAGAGCCTGACCCACTGATGCTGCACGCTGCTGTTTGGCACCAGGAAGTCGTTGTCTGCCAACCAGCTCTTCAAGCTTTCTATCGTGTTGGCAGCTAGCCAATGACACAGCAGTATTGTTCGACTTGCTCCTAGCCTTTGCTGGCGTTTCCCAGAATGCCGATCCCAGTTTGAGCTGCGCCTTCTCAGCTTGCCATGGGAGTGCAGTGCCCATGCTGATGCGCTATGGATTGCTACTGCTTGTGGAGATCTCTTTCGCTGCAGCCTTTCGCCCGACGCTGCTGGCTGCAAGGGGCAATGCCTCTTCGGTTGCCCCTTGGCTGTGTGATGTTCAAGTTGTTTGCCGCAGCATGCTGGAGAGAAGCCGTGGCCCCCATGTACTGTCCAAGGACTTGGTGCCTCCGCAGGTACCTCCCTGCATTGCAGCTCGGGGGCAAACAGAATTTAGCGACCTTCCGTGGATGCATGGGAAGGTGAGCCTGGCGTCGTAGCATGTTCCCGTTTAGAGCCCAAGACCGCCCAACCCCGAAGTTGCAAAGTTCATTGTGCCTCTGTCGTACGGCAGGTTCGGGCTCTAATGGCCTCAGGCCATACATGGTCAAACTTGGCCAACGCATCAACCTAGGCATAGGAACAACGCACTCTCAACGGGGCCAAATTTAGAGCGGGTCTTGGGCATGGGGTGGGACATGGTGGGATGAGCATCTTTGCAGGTTCAGTTGTGGAGCGTGTGGAGCTCCAAAAGAAACCGAGGTGTGCATCAAGTCGAAGTCACATGCAACCCCATTCCAGTCAGTGGCTCGGCGACAGAGCAAGCATGATCATCTACAAGCTTCGGGCAGAAATCTCAAGCGCGCTCAAACGCAACGTGCGGGACGTGTGGAATGCCGCGTGTTTTGACGTGTTGAGATGGTCGGAACGGCATTTCGGTTTCGAGCGAGATGCTGTCAGAACCGAGGACACTGTCATCCAGACCCCCAAGCGCTTCGAGCCCACCCTGCGCAACCTCCGCCTGGTGTTAGTGCTGCTCGGCCGGTCTTGCAGCTTGTTTTCAATAGGAGCTTCCACATGAAAACCTGAGGCTGGGCACCTTCACCTTGGCTTGCGTCTGCGTGATTTGGAGGAGCTCGGCTGCTGTGAGGCGGGCACAGTGGACTGCGAACTGTGCACCGGCTAGGGATACGGGATACTGCTTTCAAAGCCTGCACTCACCCTGGCACGATTGGTTTCCCCCCCGCTCCCCCGATTCCAACAAACGGACGAATTGCAGATTCTGGAACCAAAGTTTGTGAAGCTTCGCCCCTGGCCGAGTGTGCCGAGTGAGCCTGCTGCGGGCCCCCACTTGGATCTGGACGCCTCGCTCACCGTCTGCGGCGTGGGCCGGTACCAACTGACGATCGTGTTCCCAGGCCTATATCTAGTCCCTAAGACAAAGTCCTTCGTGCCTTGACGCTGCTAGCAAATACCCTGCTACAGTGGCGTCCTTCGGCAGCAATGAGGCTAGCTATCCTGCTTGCTTGGATGGCGGATGGGGCAGAGAACGTCCTGCTTCACAGCATGGCCAAGCATCTCGTGCATGCACTGCTGCAGAGCGGCATTATTTTTCGATGGGGTGAGCCGCCAGGCAAAGCCAGTAGCTAAACAGAAACTTGAAAGAACTTTCGCTATTTTGTGGTCCCGGTGATAGTAGCCGGTTGAGGGACACTGACGAGATCAGCGTGGCGGACCTACGCATCTTCAGCCACGCGGCCATGGCCTGTTCAGCGTTCCTCAGTGGGTCAGCCGCAGACAGCTCCTTGACCCCAGAGTCAGCACAGCGTTTGGCACAGCACAAGGGCGTTGGCATGCGTTGGCTGTGTGTCGTTTGAGGCTTCGGTCGTCGCCCCGTCTTCTGCATCTCTTGCCTCTTGGCCTCAGCGTTTCTTTGACTAAAAGAACTACAAAGGACACAAGGACCAAGGCTCAAGAGATCCCTTTGGCTGCCGGATCAGCGCACTCGCACCATACTATCACACGCCGAAGTGGACGCATGCAAGCCTCGAGACTTGCGATCAGGGTCCTGGGTCCTGTGCACAAAGGTCTTCTGGCCACCACGTTCTCATTGCTTTCCATCTTTGCGCCCGTGGCTGGCCTCAACGCCCAAGGTTTGCGAGCGCAAGGTTTGATTGGTCAAATGCGGGGTGAGTTCAGCTCAGCACATTCACCGATGTGTGCAGCTACCATGCTGTCTTGGCACGGCTTTGACTGGAAGCACGTAGAAGCAGTCTGAGGCATTTTGGTTCTTCTGCTGTTGCCGCGTCTTGGCCGGCATCGGCCTGGGGGCTCCTCGGATTCAGTTGAGTGACACGTGCCGCCTTGCACTGATTACGTGACAGGGTCACTTCTCTAAATTTCGGGTCCCTTTTTGGGTACCCTAAATAAGAGGGGCCGCCTCATAATAAGGACCCTCCAGAAACGGACTATAGTTAAGAGAAATCCACCACATGGCTTGCATGGCCCAGGCCCTGGTCGGAACTGACGTGGCGCTGCTGTGCGAGTTCCTCCCGTCTTCAAGGCGAGAGTGGGTGGTCCCGCTGCTTGGCCTCGTCCATCCTTGTTCAGCTCATTTCAACGAAGAAGGCTTGCGCTGAGGGGTCTTACAGGGAAACCTGAAATCCAAGCCGAATCCAAGCCTCTGATGAGAGAATGCGCCTGAGGTTTCTGTACGTGGGTGACTTGGCCTTGTCCGAGTCGTCCGAACCTAGCAAGGGTCTCCGGTCGCCCACGTTCAACGTTGTCGTCCGAGGATACGTCGTGGGGCGACTTTTTGCAGACTTCTGCGCCTTCAAGCTCTACCCTATGTTCGACAACTGGCGCTACTTGACCAAAGCCCAGTGGTCCAGTCACAGAGCGAAAGTGCACCGCAGGGCCACCGCACTGAGGCGACACTGCTGATCGGTGCGACTCCTAAGGTTTGCCCTTCCTCCTTTGCAGCCTGCCGCTGGTTCCCTCCTGCATGTTGCGCTTCAGCCTCCACGAGACGCCCCAGGCTCTCCTTGCGCGAGGCCACTCTGAGGTTGAGAGCTGTGATTCCGATCTTTCTCCTGTCCAGGTGAGCCAGAAAGCCTCAAACTCCTGTTATAGACGCAAAAGGTGGCTGCTTGTGCAGGCTTCGTGGGCCATGCGAAGAGAGTTCTCGGGGATGTGGCCGAGACGAACCGTGGAATCAGGAGTGGGGTGTTACAGTGTTCCGGCCTGCGCACTGCGTTTTCGATTGCCGGGAGACGGCTTGCACAGGAGTACATCTTGCCTCATCACCGGTGCGCGACCCGTCAAGCAATACCAGGCACGGCACGCTCTTAATGATTGTGTTTATTGTTGCTTGCCGATGTGAAGGTTGCATTACATGGAGAGGGGTCGGTTCCATAGTCAGGGAAGCAGGAGCTCATAAAGAGTACACGCAAATCTTCGCAAAAGGCAGCCAAACGCTTCGCAAAAGCTTCGCAAAGTGGCAGTCAGGGCTTGGACTTCCGAAACTGCCTCAACGCTGGAGTCTGGGCGACCATCCGGCAGAACCAGCTGGAGCGAGTGTGCCTTGCCTTGGTACTGAGCTGGCTGGGCAGCGCCTCACCCATCCCGAAAGCCCTACACGGCAAGGCGCCGCAAAGAGTATAAGCTCTCTCTTGAGGCATTTAATAGTCCCCCCAGGCTGGCGGTGGCTGCGTTGGCTTTTTTCATGGCTCTGGGGAGACTCTTGAACTCCTTGCTGCCCGAGTTGGAGGCGATGGCGGGAGGGATCAGGGTTTTCAGGTTTTCTCTATGGGTTTTGGTTCCAGGTTTGACAGGCTTCGGGGTTTACGGATGGCTCTGTTCAGCTTCTGAGCTGATCAAACATGCAGCTTGGTGAGTCGGCAGTCGTTGAAAGGCCCACTTCAGCCTCTTCAGCGACTCTTTCAGAAGCACAGTGTTCCTTGGAATCAAGTCATCAGGAAGTTGTAAGGAAGGTTGAAGCATTCAAAATCGCGACCTCCTCGCCAACTTCTTCTTCATTGCCCTGGTCAATTCAGTACATCCCAGGTGGTTCGCTGCCCTGATCTGCCTCTGGTGCGCCCTTAGCGTGGCGCTAATGCAGACTGGCCTTCTGGCCTGGGACATCTTTGTCGGAGGTTGCCTCGTGTCGCAAGGAGCGGGTGAAAGTTGCCCCCCGTGCCCCTTGCTTGTCCTGGAGTTGTTGCGCAGATTGCTGCAGAGAGTCGGACGCTGCATGGCAGGAGTCTTGCTGGCCTTCTCGTATCTGTTTCAGATGGAAACGCGGACCTGGCATGCTTGCATCTGCTTACATCTGCTTACATCTGCTTCCATCTGCTTACATCTGCTTCTGAAGTAGCAAGCAGAGACATGCTCAGCTTCACTCCGCTTTGATAAACGTCGCGCTTTCGTGCGCTTTCGAAGTATGCGCAGCGAATCGCCAGCGCCACGATCGCCCTCCACCGTGGCCGAGTCAATTCATGTGCCAGGCCTGGCTGGAAGAGCTTCAACTTGCTACTCTCCGCCTGGGCAATGGCGGAAGGTTTAACGAGTGCCATGTCAGCACGGGTCATGTGCGGCGGTGTAGGCCTTGAAGCTTGGCCTTGCAAAATGAGCCGTGGATAGCTGTGGAGATCAGGTACGCCGTTCTATGCCATATGTGCTGGATGCTCATGTATCAGTGGCAGCCAGTTCATCTGCAGCGAGGGTGAATTCAGTGACCAGCAAGGTGTGGAAGCAACCTGACCTAGGTCCGCATGTTCCCGGAGCACGCGCGTGCGACTTCCCTAGGCTTCGTGGACGCGATTTCCAGATCGGTCGGGGCCTCGGGCATACAGAGATGCCTGCCCCCGAGTCTGCAACCCAGACCCTCACTCGGCCCCAGGCCCCAAAAAGCCTAAAAGCCAGTAGAACAAGAGGTGGTGGCGCTGCAGCCATTTTTGGCGGCGGACTTGCTGAGCTCCATTGGGACGGCTCTCTCCGCTGCTGTGCTCGGGGGCTGCTGGTGCCAGCCTGAGAAGTGGTAAACCCCGTGACGCCGCCTTTTTTGCAGAGTTGGAAGTGGGGCCCTTAGGCAGATGGAGGTTTGTGGTTTTCGGGCTTGTGCCTTTAGGGTTTCACCTCTCTGTGTGCTGTTTTGTTTGTTTGTTCGGAGTCCAGCTCGGGAGTGTTGACGGTGCTGCGCAGCTCTTGTCATGCTTGTGGCACGGAGTGTCTTGGTAGACCCGGTCGCAAAACCCCTTTTGCAAAAGACGCCGTGAACCCCAAACCTCCGACACCCCTCAACGCCCACAAGCCCACCTTTTTGAGCCCCAAGGCTCTGTGCAGCAGCTTTGGCGCTGGTTTGGCGCCACCTCTGGCAGGCGGCACACGAAACCCAAATCCGCGAGCCCGCGTCCTTGAACCCCGAATTCAAATCCCAGGAGAGTGATGGTTTAGGGCTCAAGGCGCCGAAGTACGGTTGGGCCTTTGCGGGTGTTGGCGGAGGATTGTGCAGTGTTGCGGTCCCGGTACAGTAGGAAGTCTCCTATGAGCTGCACCTGACACACATGGGGTTGCCGAAATTAGGGGTACCTTAATTATTGGGGTCCTTATTACAAGAGAATCCTACAATTTGGGGCTTGGAGCGCTAGTCGCCCTGCTTGTTTATGCGTTCAGAAAACTTCCGGAGGCACCATCTCCTGAGGAGGTCGAGGCGTCCAAGGCCACGGGAAGGGCCTCTCCGAGTCTTTGCGCTGCCTCTGTTCTTCTGACGATGCTCTGTCGCGTAGCTGTTGTAATGGGCCAATGGGATGATTCGTTCTGTTGCTTTTGGGCTTCAATACTATTCGTCGCGGAGCTGCACTGGCTTGCGGCTGCAAACTTGTCTTAACCCGGTTGGGTGTTGGGTTGATGTTTCCGAGCTCAGCTTCAAAGGTCGGTTTTAAGAAAACCACGGTTTCCGAGTGTTCATGGTATGTGAAATCAAGGCGTGACCCCACCACCCTCGCAGCTGCTCTCAGCTGTTCGGGAGTGCCCTGTCTTCTTTGGCAGGCCTGATATGCAAAGCGCAGCTAAGCTGGCCAACGGCCCGACTGGGCGCATGCTTGCACCTTGAACTTCGAGCCGTAGTTTCCATGCCGGGCCTCATCATGCATTCCCCATGCAGTGTTCGTAGAGAGACGAACTCATGAACAATTCCGATTGCCGCGCATCGTGCAACCCAGCTGCTGCAGGGCAACATGCTCTGCAACTGGCAGGTGTGTGCACTGTACCATAGGACTGCGCAAGCCAACACAAAGAAAAGGGAGATCTACCTTCCCGGGCTGCCAATGTTGAGGGCATGTGCAGCAAATTGCAGCAAATTGCAGCAACATGCAGCAATCGTCGGATGCGCAGCCTAATCTAATCAAGCCAGGTGCCAGCCTCTCGCCCAGTCGTATTCTGCACTGATGAGAAAGCTCGGGGCTCGGATGCTGGAGTCGCACGCACGGTGGAAGCACCAGAGAAAAGTTGGAGTCCAGGCTTTGAAGCGAATTGCCTCGGAACTGCCGACGGCCAACCTGGATCTCAACGCTCGGAGCTCGGCGGAGCTCGGGAAACATCCCTGAACCGTGCGGCTGCAGAGGGGAGGGTCAGAAATCATTAAGAACGGCCAGCGTTGGCCGCTACTAGTATTAGTGTCATGAGTGCGTTTGCTCCGGATGCATATGTCCGGGACTCCCGCATCTCAGGCGCCCAGCGCACATCTTCAAGCCACTGGGTTGCTGGGAGCTGAGCTACAGCTACAGCCAAATACCCTTGGCAGAGATCGTGCGCACAGAAGCTTTGAGGTTGGACAAGCTGACCGAGCCCACCAGTCAAGGGGACAGCCACTTCAGGTGAGGTGCCCTGCAATTCTTGCGGAGAGACCTGGAGGCTGCCGCTCAAAGAGACTAAACGAGGTTGCTGCTGGAGGATCCCGGCCAGCTCTTGTCCTAGCTTTGCCTGCGAGTTCATCGGGCTTCCGCTTCCCTCACCCTAAGAAGCTGAGGTACGAGCTGCACCCGCACCTGGCACCGATGGTGCTCAGGGCATTCTTTCGGCTCCTGTGGAAGCAAAACGAGGCCAGCCCCAGCTGTGATTCTCGGTTTCCAGGTGCCAGCGCTGCATGCAATGTAGGCTCCCCACCAAGTCGGCTGAGAGTTCTGATGACTCCCCTCCTTGACGCTGCAGGATCCTGGCCACAGTGCAAGGCGAGGAGGGGACCGAGAAAAGTGCTGACAGTCGACGATGCCATTTTTTCAAACCACAACGAAAATATAGAATAAAACAAATACGGTTTTCACGCAATACTGTTTTCACGCTTTTAATGAAGCAAATGCTGGTATAGCTATTGTGGAAATATTGGTTGTTCTATATCTAAGTTATTGCACTCGTTCAATGTGAACTGGATTGGATAGACATATAGTAGTATAGTAGCAACATGGATTAATCGGCTCGAGCCGCAAGCTTCCTAAACGAATCTACGGCAGATTCTGGAACAAGGTGGCTGCCAGGAAATGAGGGCTCTGAGATATGAACTGACAAACACGGCGACACGAGTGCACCGGTTTTTTGGGGCCTTGAAGGTTCTGGGTTCGAGTTTAGGTGGTGACGTGCGGGATTGCGCAGAAGGAAGTTGAGGTGAGGCAAACAACGATACCAGACAGAAGACAGTAGCTTTAGGGCAAGCGGCCAAGTTTGATGGTTGTACTTTGGCTAAGATGTTGGCTGGTAGCTATTGGTTATTGGAGTTTCACTAGACTTACTGGATGGGCTGATGGAAGGGGCCTTGTTGAACCGCAATCTTGAAAGTCGAGTTGCTGCAACAAGAACGACGGCATCGGCCTCCAAGAACAGTCAGCGGCCTCTGTCAGTCCGAAGCTCCAGCTGCGAGTCCTCACTGGCGAGCCGGACCCGCAGGCAGATTTCCGAATGACCAGCCCTTGTTCCTGCGGGATGCAGCGGGACGAGTTTTGGATTCGCGCGTGTTTGCTTGGTTAGGCCTTCCTCGAAATCTCCTGTCAGGGGCAGAGACCTCGGCTTGAACATGTGCACGATTGGGTCTTGCATCTCGTTGCGCTTTCTGTTGTGTTTTTTCTTTGCACGGTTCACATAGCGTGGCGAGGGCTTGCCGTGATTCGCTGGCGGGTATCGCGCCCAGCGCAGGCACGCATATCCCGGGCCGACACCCCGGGAACTCGAGAAGCCCAAGCCCGGAAACCCTACAAGCCCATCAAATGATCTGAATATGGGCCGTGTGACACCAAGGACCCAAATACGGACCCTCAATCAGAGATATCCTGAAAGAAACCCTTCATGCAGGCCCAGCGCTGACTTCGCAGCTGGAAGCACCAGCCCCACGACGGCGCGGCCTCGCTGCATTCTTTGCGCGGGCGCCAGGGCCCCCAACAAGTGCAGGCTGCAGACATTTGGGGGCTCAGCTTTTTGGGGTGTAAGGCACGGTGTAAGGGCTCTAAGGGCTTCAATGGGTACTAGTGGGCCAGGTGCAACTGGGAGGAATAAGGCATTTTTGCCAAAGGTCCCGGTCAACTCCACGGAAAGTCAGCGAGCAGAGCCTCCTCGAGCGCCTGGCCCCCGGCCCTTTGGAAGTGCTCCGTGCGAACATGGCTGATCCAAGCTTTTTGGGCCGTCTTGGGCTCGATTCTCGCACATTCTTTATATACATTAGGACCCATCATGGGGTTCTGAGCTTGCACTCAACGAGATAGGAGTGCGAGGATTCTTGGAACGAACCTGTCTGGCGCTTAGGTGGTCACGAGAAGGCCTCATCACCCATCACCCAACATGGGCCTGCTCACACCGAACCCTTAACCTTAAACCCTAACCCTAAACCCTAAACCCTAAACCCTAAACCCTAAACCCTAAACCCTAAGCCATAAACCCTAACCCTCAAAAGGCATTGACCAGTTGGCCCTCCTGGCTCTGGAGACCACGGGCAGCCGCATCGCAGTTGGCTCCCCAGCGCCGCTGGGAGTCGACGGGTGGCGCAGGGCGCAAGGCTGTGCAAAGAGATGTGCTGTGGCTTCTGGATACGATCTTTTTTAGACATGTATCAAAAAAATAGTATCATGGTTGCAAGTTTTGTGTAGATGAAGATAGTTGCATCTCCATTTTGCGGCTTTTGTGCGAGATGTCTTGCCAAGCAAAGAACCTTGGGCCCATCCACGTTTCCTCTCTATGTGTCGAGCTTTCCTCCTTTTGAAGCTCTGCCAACCCGGACGAAAGCCACCCTACACATCCCGAAGCCGAAAGCCGTAAGCATGACCAAGCTCTAAAGTTTGCCATGGGCGCTTATCTTCGCACGGGCGCTGCCCTCGTGGCCTCGGCGGAGATGGAGCTGGACGTGGCCATCATAGGCGAGGTGGGGCCAGTGCTCGGTTCAAGAAGAAGCCGGATTTTATTCAAGGATCCCACTAAACTCTAAAGGCCCGAAGCAAAATATCGCAGACCCCTGCATGACTCAGTGACTTTCGCAGGCAATGGGCCCAGCGGCCTCGGTCTCAGGGTCTTCTGAAGAGAGGTCTTAGGCTTCAACATGCCGTAGGTGTTTTTTGGGGTTTAGGGCCAATGGAGGTCTTCTTTCGAAGCTTCTTGAAACCAGGGAGCTCTGCTGCGAGGTGAGCACGTACAGACCCCTGAGCTGTAGTCTAGGCCCTCATCCGCAAAAAGCCCTGCAACCATAAACGCCATGTTTTGTTGTGGGCTTATTTATCTTGCATTCTTCGAGGCCTGGCACTTGCCTCAGCGCTAAGCGGCTGGGTGCCACAGGCTGCGGAAAAGAGTCTTCGGTTTTGTGGTGTTGTGGTCTCGGGGCTTAGGTCGGCTATGGGTCTTCACTAGGTTCAGGGGGCCTTGAATAGGGGCTTGTGCATGAGTGGTGCAGCGAAAGCTTTCCTTGGATGGTGACTTCTCTTCCAGCATTGTAGCCGGGGCCCTGAAGTTGTATTTTGCGCAGGTTGCTGTGCCGGCAAAGCGTCTTTCAGATCCCGCAGCAGCGGCCCCGGCAGGCCTTTGCTTGAGAGGGTGGTTTTGCAGGGCCATCAAACATTGGTCCTCTAATTGCGAGTGGGCACTGCTAGTATTTTTCCCCTTGCCAAAGATCACACCTTCCAGGCAAAACCAGTAAGTTCGCGACCCGTGGATCGTTCTTAGTGGCTCGTGACACGAGACTGTGGCTGGCGAGAAGCCACTGGTCATGATTGTGCGCGTGCATAGGCCTCCAAATGATAGAAGCCTCTACATGAATGGTTGGGTTATTTGTCCTCAACTGTCCATTACATTGCAGAGTGGATCTGGAAGGCACTTCCCTTAAATGTAGTTGCAACATTCGCTTGTTATGAGTAAGGGGTCATGAATGATCATGAGACTTGTCAAAAGCTGGCTGGCAGCCTTTTTGTAGAGAAACCTTTGGTCCAGCAAGAACCTTCCCGCTTGCAGAAAGTTTTCCTCGGAAAACTATCTACGCCGTAAGCCTTGATTCTCTAGTTACGGGCATGCCATAAGTGAACGATATTGGACCATCCATATGCGATTCACATGGCAGTCTTCTTAAGAGAAGCACCTCAACCGAACACGAACAACGGCCAATAGAGGGTTTCTTAATTGTAGAGGTTTTTGAGCCATCTTCCTACCAAGTGACAGGCCGTGTGTGAGCATATCCAAACAGTTCAAGAAGGTTTAAGGGCACACCATAGATTTCTTCAGGCCGGGGGAGGCTTCTGGTGTGGCAGGCGGCGCTAAGGTCCCAGTAGGTGCCCCCCAGTACCAAAATAGGTGATACACACAGGTGGAGGGGGGGGGGGCGCGCCGGTGGAGTGTCACGACTTCTGAAATAAGAGACGTTTTGGAGATGCTATGCATACTATGTTGTTGAAGGGTTGAGTAGAAAAAAGAGTTTTTCGCATACTGTATCCATTTGTATAGTACACCCCCGCCTACTTGTTGTAAATGTATATATATATATACTTTTGTGAAGCGACATGTATCGTTAGGAAAGCAGTAGCTACTTGAAGCCACAACGCCTGATCGAGCACGATCAGCTGTTAAAGGGTTCATCGACAATTATCCGAAGTATGGTTAAGTTGTGCAGTTATCAAACGTTGTTGAAGAACCCGTCGTTCATTGGATCAGCTTATTCTACGTTTACGGAACACTAGCTCACGAATGGAGACAACATACGACAACACATGAACAAGAACACAGAAGTGCCAAAGAAGTGATTTTTGCGGGGTGCCGTCTAAGTATTGGACCCCGTTGCCGAGAAGTGAGACGCAGGTTGCAGAAACATGATACCCGCACCTTCAACCTACTACACTGTTAATGATTACTTACAGAAAGCTACCCCCCCCCCCCCCCCCCAAAATTCGGCACTATGACCATCCTGGACAACAGCCGGTGTGAAAGTTGTCAGACAATGTAGTATGCAAAAGGGCACAGCCCGCAATGCAATTTGCATGGCCTGGTTGTTTTTGAAGGGTTGGGTGGGTTTCGAGTGTACCAGGTGTGGGTTGGCGACTCTAAAAGCTTAGATGCGGAAAAACTTTGGGCGACCTCCGCAATTTCCATCTTGAGTGAGTTGAGGGTCTTGAGTTTCAAGTCTCTCCAACCGAAGATAGAAGACAGATCATCAGAAAATTCTTGGACCGCGTCTTTGATTTCCATCTAGAGCGTCATAAGCATCTTGACACTCAAGGCGTTCAAAGGGTATATAGGAACACCCTTGCCCCAAAGGTTGCCGGCCTGCCTGTGGGCAAAACTCTAAACCTTCAGCCTTGAATCCTGAACCCTATTCCCCACAAGTCTCCACTCCCTAAGGTCAGCAACGCTGCCACGAAACTTGCGGGTCGCACTCTCGACGAGGTGTCTGCCATCATGTCAGGACCAGGTCTCTAGAGTTCTCGTGCGGGGTAGCTCACTTCGCTCATTGGAGCTTAAGCGCCTCCCTTGCAGCTCTTCAGCGGAGCGGTTGCGCTCAAAGGTGGATCTGGCGCCCTTGGCAGCCGGAATCCAGAGGCGTTGCCTAAACCCGACGGCGCCCGGAGCGCGTTTGCCCGCATGCGCTTGCAGTGTGCAGGTCAGGCCGCTGTACTCAGGGGATCTCAGGGGTCATCTGGCTGCTTGAAGGTATCTTCATAGCACCTGTGGCTCGTCAGGTTTGCTGCGTGAATATTTTGCTCAACCAGTCCATAAGCTAATCTGTATGTGTCAGTTTTGCTTAGATGACCAGATCACACAAGTGCCGAGTAGAAGCCCAGAAGCCATCGGAGCCACCCGTTTGTGCGATGGCTTTGGCATACTGGCAGCTAGTGCTGGGCACCATCCACCAGCAGCCGTCGCTTTGAATGGCGTTTAGGGCTTGGGGGGTTTAGGCTCGGGGCTTCTTTGAGATGTGACCAACAAGACACTTCAACATTTGTCAGCCCGCAGTTTGGGATCGGGCGATGGGCCTTGTGTCAGTTTCCGCAGGTTTCAGTTTGCACATACACATGTGAGTGAAGACATCTCTTCACGACGATGGTCGAGACTGTAGAGAAGAGCCTAAAAGACATCATAAATTTGTGGGTCGCAGTACAGCCCTCAAAATTGCGATCCTCCACGCTGTGGCACTGTCATTTTCATCACTGGCATGCAAGCTGCCGTGCCCGCCGAAGGTTTCTCGTCATCTGCGTTGTTGCCTTGACTTGGCTGCAGTGGGAGACCATCCCCAGCTTCCCGGTCAACCTTCTGCAGCATGTGCAGCGCAAAGGCAAGGAGAAGGCTGAGGATTCCCGGGGGGCTGTGTGACATCTGTGTTCTGGCTTAAGGGCCTTTCGGGGTACCGCGACCAAGGGTGGCACCGAACAGCCACTCAGCCTTGTCCCCTTTTCTCGAAGCTCTGGCAGCTCTCAGCCCTAGACCCTGAACCTTGACAGCCCGGACCCTGTACCCTCAGCTGGAAGTTAAGTTTGAGTACCTCTTTTGAAGGACAGCCGTGAGACCGCTCTTAGCGCCCGTGTGGACGAGAAGCTCGCCAACGTTCAGGTCCTGGTCGCAGTTGCAACAGACAAAGGGGTCTTGAATGTGCGTGCCATGAGAGCAGTAGCAAAGTACAGCGTACCACCGCTGGTCAATCATAGCTCAGCACGTGTCAGGCTCATGTCTGGAGGACGGCTTCGCGCATCCTGGTGCACCTGAATCTCGTTACGTTTCTCGTTGGCATGGTAGACTACCAGCTCGATCCCGGTTTCACGCGTTTGTGGTGGCTGCTGGTCTTGGCCATCGTTCACATCCTCTACTTGCTTGGAGCCATAGAAACACTAGAGCAGACGCGCGAGCGCATTCATTTCGTGTGCACGGTCATCAATGGCATGGGTGTGGCAACTGCTTTGGCCAGCGCGTGGGAGAGCAAGGAGGATTACCTAGGACGCACCAACATCTCCATGACAGGTCAAATCCTCTTCGTGCCCTGGCATATCCTGGCATGGGCACCTGTCATACTTTTACGCTTCCCTGTCGGTTTCATATTGTTTCTTTGCCCGTTTGCCTTGCTTGCATGTCCAGGCTCTCATCTTCCCAGCGGAGAAAAGGATCATCGCGCAGTTTGGAGTGCTGTACATGGTGGCATACTGCTACGCTGGGATTAGTACCTGTGGCCCTGAGTCGGTCACTGGATGGTTCGTGGTGCAGCAGCTTCTACAGCTTGTGGTTGTGATGTTAGTGCCCACTGTGATACAGAGCATTGTGCGAGATCAAATCAAAGCATCCCTGGAATCACAAGACGCTGACTCGCTCGTGCATCCTGGCACGAAGTTAAAGCGCTTTGCCATTGCTTTCGTGAAGTGCTATCTGCTCCAAAACTGGTTACTATCGGTTGCTAGTTGATGTGATTGTTGTCGTGGTGGGCTGCGGTGGCTATGGTTTGGGTAAGTCGTCATGATCGACGTCGCGGCTGCCGCAGCGTCTTATCACCGTTGATAGCGGGTAGGTTTGAGTCGTCCCGGTTAGGCCGTGAGGGGGTATGCCTGACACAAGCCGCAGTGGTCCAAGTGGTGGGGCATGGGGGGTTTATGGTGATGGTGAATGGTTTTGATGTTGCTGTCGGTTGCACATACCCTTGTTTGCAATTCTTGTCCGTTTCCTTTGATCCGCATGGAAAAGAGCAGGTCAGCTTTCCGCCATCTACTCAAAGGGGTCTCAGATGGGGACTTGCTTTTAGACAGCAACTTCAACATTTGCGGGAATGCAAGCTGCTTACAGCGACTTCTGGGAACGCATGAAGACTTCAACGGGCGCAACTTTCTGGATCTGATCACTGAGCCGGGGTCCGTGCCGTTTTCCAAATTCCTCGTCGCCGAAGGTGGAGGATCCTCGGCAAGTGCAACCCCGGGTTCCAAGTGCCCCAACATGCCGCAAGGTGTACGTGTGCACCTACAAGGTTCAGGTTGTGAAGTGCCCGTGGATGTCTTTCATGTTGTGCTCCCCGAGCTCTATGGCACCAGCGCCACGCACCACCTGCTAGCCATAATGGAGCATTCTGAGCCGTGTGTCCGGTCCGTCCGGTCCGAGCCCAGGCAAGGCGCGGCCCCAGCTAGTCTGCCAGAGGGGAAAGAAGGGAAAGAAGACGTATTCACAGAGTCCCATGAGAGAGGAAGCGAGGACATGGATGCGAGCCACATGGTACAACAGTTCGCAGAGCAGCTCGCGCAACAGTTCAACGTGCTTTCAGACCTCACATTGCTCGTGAACGCCAACACCGAGCTGATTGACATAGAGGAGGCTGTGATGCACTTTGCGCACAACGATGCGGTCGAGATGACAAGTTTGAATGGGTTGGTTCCCCCGCGGGAGTGGCATGGAATCAAGTCCAAGCTGCATCAGTTTGCTCGTGCCACTCGTTCCCGCCGCCCCAAGCCTTCCAGTTTGCCATCCATGGTGCTGCGGTTTCCGGGGCAGGAGGAGGACACTTACCTGCGAGCAAGGCGTGTGTCCATCGAACCCGTCTACTCTGCCACATTCCATGAAGCTGAGCCCACTCTTGTGTGCCCTGGCTGCGAAATGTGCTGGTGTTTACTTCTGGTGTGGAAGTTAATAAAGTGTGAGCTCCTTCACCTTCAGGTACTTGCGCCTGAGCAAATTCAGCATCTGGCGCCAAACTGCGGCAGAGGCGGAGATGCGAAGGCAACTTAGAAGCGGTGAGATGCAGGATGACGTCCTGCGAACGCCGTGCGCGAGTCTGTGAGAAGCATTATCCAACTTCGGAAAGCTTCGGAGGCAGCTTGCAAACCCACGACGTGCCGTGCGGCGCCAGAAACGTGTGACATGCAGTGATCGTAAGCAGAGGTGGTGGGGACATACAGGCGTGCGAGGCTAAGTTCAATGTGCACCACTTGTTCACAAGGGCTGACAGTTCAGAACTCGGTGGTAGAGCCAACCGTGGTTTAGCCAGGCAGCGCTGGTGGACGCCTTGCGCTATCCAGAAGGCCGAAGCATTGACACCGACTTTTGATGTGCGCTTGGCTGGCTTTGATGTACAACGGGCAACAGGGGTCCAAACATTTTCTGCAAGAGTATGCTTTTCTGCCTACAACCTCCTACAACCCTGGTCAATCCTTCGCCGGCTTCTTCCAGAACTGGTAAATCAGAAGTTCAGAAACCCGAGCCGGACGCGTTTTCTTTTAAATTCCTGCGACCCTGATCGGCAACTGTTGAGAAGTGATACCTTAGAAAAGGACCCAACCCACCCCCTCCCACCCCCGAAAAGGGACCCAAACTGTAGCCCCCTAGGAGTTATTGTTAATTTTAATTTGTGTAAAATTCAAGGGAACATCTAAAAAGCTCATAGGAAGGTTCTAAGGGCAGTAGAGCAAATTTCTGGCTTTGCGAGGCGATGGCCGTGGCAGCTCTCTCCTGGTCCCCGGGCAGCAGCCGGCCTTGCGGCATGCGGTGATCGGCACCTTTCCAAGAACTTGGGACTTGGTACCTTAATGTACCTTATAACCCTAAAACCCTAAAGCCCTAAAACCCTGAAACCCTGAAACCCTGAAACCCTAAAACCCTGTTACACCGTAAGGGTTTAACTTTAGGAAGTTTTGGGGTTTTATAAGGGTTTAGAAGAGTTGAAAAGGGCTTGACAGGGGTTAATAAGATGTTCACAAGGGTTGATCGGGTTGGCAAGAGTTGATACGGGTTTGGAGTTTATCAGGGTCCTGGTAGCGGTGGGAGAGCCCGTCGCCCACCCCGAACGAGCAACGGTGCTCCAAGTTCGGGATCTGCTGAAGGTGCCAGTCCGCCAGGGGGGAGCTGGCACTCAATGTCGCCCTCTACGGCCGCTTGCCCACAAGTTGACATCCACGATACGCTGCCCTGGCTTAGAGAGTCTTCCCGACTCCCCTTTCTCAGATGTGTGGGTGTGTAAGGGGTCGGGACCATGTACGATTCCAGAAGACTCCGGCAACCAGTTTTGGTGGTTTTGCCAGTGGCCGGATCAATGTGGTATGCCGCATGCCTGCAGGGGCATTCTCACAGCAGCCAAAATCCTGAGTTTCGGATTGTCTCAGGTCACGCTGTCGCCAGGCTCATGGATGGACCTCCCAGGCCCACTCTGGCAAGTCAGGAGTGAGCTACCTACCCCTGGAAGCAGGATGCAAAACGAGCCCAACAAATTATTCAGATCAAAAACAGGTTTCACGGTAGTGGGCGCACCGCTGCCTCGTTGCAGACAAGTTGCAGACAAGAAAGTGGAGCTGGGATACCTCGGCTGGGGGGCAGCATTAAAGCTTACTCCCGGTCAGGCTACTCTCTGGAAGAGCATCTGAAAAGCTCTGCAAGCTCGGGAGAGGCCTGTGGTTTGCTACAGACAAGAGATGAAGTGGAGAGAATAGTCTCTTCACCGTACACATGCAGAAAATCTACCCTCTGTATTCTTGGGCTTCTCCTGTTGGGTTCTCATATTATCATACTCTCCCCTTGAAGGTGCCGACCTTGTTTTTCGCCGTGAGAAAAGCTCCTTGTAATCTTGGGGGAGTTCCGTTTCAGCAGTTCGCTGAACCTTCTTGGAACCAACCTAAACCCTAAACCCTAAACCCTAAACACTAAACCCTAAACCCCTCTTACCCTCGAAGAGCACGCGAGGCGCGCCGCTTGCTCCGAAGGGTCGGTGCAAAGGCCCGGCTGCGTTTGGAGGAGTATAAGAGTGTGTACATGTCGCTCTATATGTAGAATTGTGTGTGCGTGTCTATAGGGGCTGCGGCCATGGGCAGGCAGCGCAGGCAGAAGCTCGTATATGTATACGTATATGTATATGTATATGTATATGTATATGTATATGTATATGTATATGTATATGTATATGTATATGTATATGGTACCCCCCCCCCCAGTGACCTACCCTTTTTCGCCTTGTCTCAAGTCACCCAGCTGCACTGCAAGCAAACTCGGTGTGCAACATAGCGTGTTTCCTAGGGCGTAGACGAAAATACAACTATTTGTGAATTTGCTTGTGTATGGCCTTCACAAAGTACTTTTCTAGGATTATTGTGCATTTTTTAGGCCTGATTGTGCAAGTTGTGTTTTTCAAACATAGTATATAAGTGGTCTTTCTTAAATACTTCAGACATCTTTGTTTCATCGTTATGTAAGTAGAACCGCTTCTATTTCCATTGTTGTGCATTTTTAAGCTTGCTTATGCAAATTGTGGTTTTCAGACATAGTATATAAGTGGTCTTTACTGAATACTTCAGCAATCTTTGTTTCATTGTTATGTAGGTAGAACCGCTTCCATTTCCGTTAGTGTTTATTTCGTATTTGGTTGAGTATGGTCCTTTAAATAGTATTCACTTGAGTCAAATTGGGCTATTTGCTTAAGCATTACTCTAGTAGTTAAATTCGCATAGAATGAATATTTCAAAAAAAATGTTTCATGAATATTTAAACATAAGGTATTTCAGTGGACTTTGCAGATAGTATTTCAATAATACTCCGCCTGGTATAAACACAACTGTTTCAATGCATTAGTTGCTCAACAAAGCACGATTTGCCCTTTAGGCCACACTTTGCCATATTTTGGTTGAATATGATGCTTATTTCGTATTTTGGTTGAGTATGGTCCTTTAAATGGTATTCACTTGAGTCAAATTGGGCTATTTGCTCAATAATTACTAAAGATTATTTCAAAAATAAAAAAACTTCATGAATATGTAAACATAAGGTATTTCAGTGGACTTTTCAGATAGTATTTGATTCATACTTTGCCTCGTACAAACACAATTGTATAAATACGGTAGTTGCTCAACAAAGCATTATTTGCCCTTTAAACGCACACTTTGCCATATTTTGGTTGAGAATGGTGTCTATTTCGTATCTTGGTTGAGTATGCTCCCTTATATAGTATTCACTTGAGTCAAATTGGGCTCTTTGCTTAATAAATAGTCTAGTAGTTAAATTCGCATAGAATCAAGAGAAAAGTTTCACTATTCGATGAATGCTTTGCCTCGTGCAAACACAACTGTATAAATAAATTAGTTGCTCAACAAAACATTAATTGCCCTTTAAACGCACAATTTGCATAGAAAAAACACAGATCTAGACATCTAAAAACAGCATTGTCCGCTTCAGGTTCAAAATGTAGATTAATCCAATGCCGGCTTATCGGGGTCTGTGAGGTGGGTGTCCCAGTAACTGTCCTTCATTACCCGGTGATTGATTAACTACGCGGCTTTGGGCCTTCGTTGTCGTTTTTTGTTAACAAGGCCTAAATAGGCCCAAAAAGGGTAGGTCGCTGGGGGGGGGGGTAGCATGTATATGTATATGTATATGTATATGTATATGTATATGTGTATGTGTATGTGTATGTGTATGTGTATGTGTATGTGTATGTGTATGTGTATGTATATATATATATATACATATGTATATGTATAAATATAAATATACATATACATATAAATAAATAAGTAAAAAACAATGGAGTAGAAATAGCTAAAACAAATAGATAAATAAATAAACAAATACATAAATAACTATATATGTCGCTTTGAAGTCAGATTAAGTTTGGCATCGTGTCGCCTTTTGCCTTGGATCGCCCTTGGGCACAGGAATTGGCCGCTTCGCGCGTGCCGCGCTGGCTTGTGGCCGCAGCCCGTCTGTGCTGAAGGATTGGCACGTTTTTGGAGCGCACATCAGGATATGTGCTCTTGATGCTGTCTTGAGCCTCCGAGGAATATTACATCGCCTATGCGCGCCGTCTACCTTCCACTTTCATCAATGGAACGGTCGAAGCCATGGTGCCAGACGGTGCAGCCTGGAAGCTTCGGACACTTGGCAGAACATCTCCAGCTGATTTGTTTATGCTTTTGTGGTTGCGAGCGCCACATATGAGAAGACTCCTCATGCGAAGAACGTACGTGCGTAGGTTATCTCGTCAGTCTGATAAGTTGCTGAGACCCCTTTGTTGCAAGCCCATCCCGCGGTTTAGATACTGTAGGCCATTTGGTCACTTGTCACGGCCTGGTTGGTCTGCCACGTGGTTATGCCTTGCTTCTTGCAGCGATCATGAGGATAGCTGCTGCTTCAGATGAGGCCTCTCGCGACCCCATTGTCCGGTTACGCATAGCAGCGTCCAGTGTCCGTTCAGAGGTTGCAAAATCACATGCCCATAGCCTATTGCAGCAGCCTCCTTTTCGGTGTGTCCAAGCCAATAGCCATGAAGTCAAGAAGGCCTAGGTCTTGTTTGCTTAGATTCGAGGCATGCCCGCTATCACATACGGTGGGGCTGGGTCATTGTGACTCAAATCAGACCCCATCTTTTTTTGGGTGGGAAGGGGAGGGGGGTGCTTCAGCTGGAAGCGAAGACGCCGGCAGTGCGGATCGGAAGCGAGCATTTAGTAACTCGTCCCGCAGGGTGCGCACTTTTCATCTCATTCGCCACTGCCTGTCCACCACGTGTTCCGACCTATGCATGTGCACGCAGTTTGTACGCCAATCGATGTGTGGAAACTTGCGCCGGAGGCGGACTCCTGCAACATGCTGGAAGTCAAGGCACCTGCAGCAGCCAGCAGTTATTCAGGGTTGCTATGGGAGCTTTCTAGCCTCTGGAACTGCCCAACAAGTTTCGCAAGCAATCGCCTGCCCGCTGATCCTTGAAACTCTAAACTGTGAGCATCTACATTCACGGAACAGAGTTGCACTAGGTCGTCTTGCAGGTTTTGTGGGCCGCATGTATGCTGTATGCTAGAAATGCCCCCCAACAACTCGACCCAAAACTGCCCCTAAAGTTCAAAACCTAAAGCCTCAACTTCATTCTTCGCACAAGTGGAGACCTCCAGCTTTGCAAGTGACAGAGTACGAATAGGGGTTCGAATACGCATCGAAAATCGGAGGGGGGCCGCGATGGTGCTTTGGGTGTGAGTGTGTGTAGTTTCTTGTCGGGATACAACAGTTGAAGCTTTCATATACTCGTCCAAACAGAGCCATGTTGCGCATTGTGTCGCTGAGTGGTGAGCTGGTCGTGCAGCTGGACTGGGTTTTTTTTGCATTCCGCTTGCAACAGTGCAGCGTGCAAGAGACGCCAAGCCGACTTCAGCACCCGCAGTGAATTGCTGCCCCGAAGATCTTCTCGACTCTTGAGGACACAGAGGATCTGCGGCCACCTCGGATACAGGGCCCTTTCGACCCCGTCAGTGCCATCAAATACCGAATCAAGGCATGGCCCACCTGAGGGGATGTGGTTGGACTCCTAGACGCTGCAGGTTAAAACCTTAGGGTGTCGATGGTTGTTACATGTGGTTGCGAACGGTTCGGTACAGTATGGTACTGTACAAGCTGTCAAACAGCGTGCCGCAGTCTCTTAAGGCTGCTAGAGGAGTGCCCTGTGCCAGGAAGAGAGGCAAGTATCGATTTTTCGGCAGCAGCTCCTGCACGGCAGCAGGGTCCTTTCTGAAGCAACTGGGATGCTCAAGGATTGCAGTGTGGAATGACAGATTGCTCCTGTCGATCGATCCCCGAATATGGTGCGGTCACATGTAGGCCGCAAGTAGGGCGCATGCTGCACTGCATGCTGTATGGTACTTGCATTTGGTACCAGTAGTCTTGTGTCCTGTCCTTTTCTAAGTCTTCCGGTGGCTAGACATCTTGCCAAGGAAGACACGGAGTGGGAGGAAGTCGATGGCTTTCAAGAGAGCTTTGGCCGAGACAAGTTTCAAGGTTGTACTGACATGTCTGTAGGGGAGAGCTACCCAAAAACAAATTAAATAACTTGCCTGGAGGGTGTTTTGCAAATTTGAGACCTCAGGATACAGATCATCTTCACAGATTACGTCGAGGATTACACATCGAAGCTTCTCGCAGCAGTGCCCTGGAAGCATTTCCGTCGCGACATTGTCGCTGCGATTCGGAAGACAGACCAAAACGCAGAGCATTCCACGGGTCCATCTTCATCTTCATAAGCATCCTCACCCTCGCATGCACCCCACGTCCAAGACCCTGAAACACTCCGAACGAATCCTGAAATACTTCCCAAGCCGAGCCCGTTTCGTTTCTTTGATTTAGGCTGCGGCGGGCGACGCGAAGGGGGTTGCTGCTCCTCGGCGGCAGTGCGGGAGGAGTGGTAAAGCACACGTGGCAAAGACGTCCATTCTAGTCTCCTCTTCTGGCATACGAACATAAATGAGCATGTAGGAATAGAACGTATTGTACATAGGACATGGTTTAGAAGTTATATCGTATTGCATTGCGCTCTATGGAAGCATGAAGGCCAAGCTCCTGAACTTTCAGACTCCCGACGCGGCGGACGAGCGCGGCGAGACGGCTGCGTGGAAGGTCCTCCTACACTTCACTCCCTGCACCGTTCATTCTGCAGTTCTTTCTGCGCTTGCCTGCGTGTCGCAGAGCGATAGCCCTGCAGCCCCAAACAAAAAACCCTCAAAAGGCCCTAAGCCGCTGGAAGCCATCCCTGTGAATGAGAAGGCCAGTCGAGCCGGGAATTTGGCCGTCCTTCAGACTCTGAGCTCCTCGGCACCGCTGGACCGGGGCTCTAGAAGTTCCACGGAAAGGAACTCTCGGGTCTCAGGGTCTGGATCGTTCTCTACTTAGGGGTACTGTTTTGGGGTGTGGTACTGCGGACGCCAGACTTGGGCCGTCGACTGTCTTGCAAGGGCAGTCTGACATGCTTGGTGTTTTGCCTTCCGTTTCGTGATGCATGTGTGAAATGAGAAATACTACCTCTCGGGTCGGTGGCTTATCTGCTGAGGAGAGGCCTGTGCAGACTTTGAGAAGCCCGCCCGCTTGGCTGCAGCTAGAGTGACACCGTCGTGGCAGGCATGACGGCTTTGCCAAGCGCATCATCTAACTTCATATGTGGGGTGTCTGCTAGCTACGACGTGCTACAGCTCCTTGCCAAGACAAAGGATGACGATGGCTTCACACCTCTTCACATTGCTGTTGGAGCAAACCAAGTGGAGGCAGTGCGCTTATTGGTCGACTGACCCTTTGCTGCAAATTCAGTTACCTCCTAGGACTCCACGATTCAACCTCCGTCATGCCCTCCCTGCCCAAGCCCTTCACACCCCAACCCTGTGCTTTGCGTCCTTTCTTGACGTTGCCTCGGGCCCTGCGAGCCTTTAGCGCTCGGCTCTCTCGCTGCAGGTGGGGCGGATGTGAACGCCGTGTCCCGAGACGAGGTGGCGCCACTGCACACAGCCGCCCAAAACGGGCAGCAGGAGGCCGGGTAGGGATCCGAAAACGACGCCGTCAGAGAGTCGATGCATGGCGATGCTGTTCCACTGGAGACATTCCCGCAACTACTATGTCTCCGTCGTGACCCGTTGAAGCCGACAGCCATGTTTGTGTATCTCGAAACCTCCTGGGACTTGCGACTCCTGTTTTGATGCCACAAAAAAAGCACCAATTGACCCGCGATTTGAAGAAAGGTCACACCTGCAATTTCCGTTGTCAAGATCGACTCACATCGACTTGGGAGCGTCTGCACCACCAGTAGGCCTAGACCCTTTGCTGTGGCCACATTGCTGAAGAGGCGTTTTTCTTCATTGGGTCTGGGTTCATCGTCGATGACCCACGGACAAGGGATCTTTTTGAACAGATTCTCCCACCTTCGCAGTCATTGGTTGCAGGTCGTCTCTGAGGCGTGGTGGGTGAACAGCAAATACCGCAGACGTTGGGAAAAGACACGACCATCCAGGATCTGGGCGAGCACAGCAACACATCACAACGTGAAGCAATGGACCCAAAACCGCTCCCTGTACAGCTTGTCATCGTGACACCACCAACAAGGGGTGCACAAATGAGGCACATGTAAATTCAGTCAATAAGCAGCTGAAAGGGATCTCAACATAACTCAAGTGTCGTAGGTGTGAGGGCAGACTAGCATGCAGATCGCTCTTGGCAGCTTGTTGCGACATGTCAGCATATGTCACCTGGTGCTTCTGAGTGCTGAAGAATTGCTGATGTGCGGCAAGGTGTTGCGGTGCCTCATTGGGGCTGCTGCCGACCTCAATACCAGAGGCCACGCCTCACTTGCATCCCGCCTTGCATCCTACCAACATCAGTGAAGCTGTGGGTGCAATTTCAGCGCGACGCGACCCGCCTCGGATCCCTGCCGGGGCCGTGGGCCTACGGCTGAAGGGTGGGGGGGGTTGGTGGAGTGGGCGCGGGCGTGTGACGGGAGGGGTGCGGTCGGCTCTCGCACACATGCTGGCTAGGGGGGTACCCATTGCACAAGTGGTCAAGGCGTGTTGAGGGGATGTGAGGTGCTTTATGCTCCCCAGACACCTACGGCCCAAGGCCCGGCGGACTGGGAAGCAGAACCTGGTAACTGGTCAGGACAGTGTGCAGATGCACACTGCATAAACTGGCAGAGGCACGTATTGTCACAGCATCGCCCTCGCTGGAGTGCTGTTCATGACAGATGCTCGTTCCTAATGCCGACAATTCGGCTTGCCCTTGCGATTCTTCGACCACACCCTGCCCGGAGTACACAGATGTCGAACCATGCACGGAGTGTCGCATAGCAAGTTCAATCTCTGGACAGAGGGGCGACGAACCTCTGAAAGTTGCAGCACACATAGCACACCAAGTCCCATGCGGCAAACCCCCCGTGTAATTTCAAGCCTACACTGGCTTCCGCAAGCAATGTGAGGGGTGGGGGGGTGGTTCCTCACATGGTAAGAATGGCCCCACGGCGCAAGTCAGCAGGACCCCTCGGGGAGACGCCGCTCTTCATTGCCGCGCAGCCATGGAGCTGCATTGAGCTTCTTAAGGGCTTCTGCAGTCGCTTGTTGGGAGAACTCAGAACTGACTGCAACTCAGTGGCAACTCCATCTAAAGTTTCTAAAAGTCGTTGGCCCCAGAAGTTTTGTACGACATGACAACGCGGTCCGCCACTGTTGGGTTCCCAAAAACTCTGCGTTGCCTCTGGTGGTTCGGGGATCATGTGAAAAGCATGGAAAGCAGTGAGAAGGTATGGCAATCTGGACCTGGTGTATTGCCTTGTGTTTCCCGGCTGCAAGGCGAAATGGTTTGCGTAGTAATATAGACCGTGCTGTACCCATGTGGTTGTTGGGTCGAGTCTCCAAGCTGCTAGCTGAGGAGCGCTGGCGCCCAGAAAGATCGAGCAGCGAACGATGGCTCAACACCTTTGCTCATAGCAGCTGTGAACAATCAGCTTCTTGTCCGAAACCGATCCCGACGACCAGACGACTCTGCCAGACGACCATAACACAGCTTGCTTGTGTCCCTTCATGATGGTGGAGTATGGACTGAGATTTTTGCAGTATGCAAGGTGGCCCGTTTTCCGATACCTGGTGGAGGAGGGCGTAGATGTGCAACTGGCAGCATCTGGGCTGAGTAACGGTGGTCAAACAAGTAGATGGCTCGCGAGGGCGAATGCATGACATCTTGGTCACAGAGGCATTGGATGGAACCACCCCTCTGTCGGTCGCGACCCAGAGTGGATCCCTAGAAGACGCGCCTGGGCTTGGCTTGTAGCCTTGGGGTGTTCCGGCGCGACCACTCCACTTCATTCTCAGAAGTCAGACAAAGGGTTGCGTTCCGAGAGCAGCGCGCCGGACTCTAGCGTGCCGTCCGTCTCGACCTTTGACCATCAGGTGCGTCTTCTGGTGAACGCGCGTGCAAACATCGAGGGTGGCATCTGTGGCGGGACTCTGCTATCCATGGCTGCGAAGCATGGGCAGCTCGTCCAGGGCACAGAGCTAAACGCAAAACACGTGAGTCTTGCCCTTTGCGAAGCACAGGCAGCTCGAAATGGTTCGCTTCCTGGTAGAAGCTGGCGCTGACAAGGACTTCCGGGGGAAAGCTTTTGGGCTTCAGGGCTTTGGGTTCGGAGAGACATGTTGCCGCGCTGCAGACCAAGCAATCTTCATGTCTGCCTTGCCTGCATCTGCATGAAAATGCACTACGATGCAAGATGCCGTGAGAGAGGACAAGACGGGCAAACACGGCGCAACTCCCTTGTCCGTGGCTGCCAAGTATGACCAGCTCAGCTCAGTTCAGTACCTCATTGAGGCACGAGCCGACAAGGACCCTTGAGGCCCTGAAAATCAAGGGTTCTTTAGGTTCCACACAGAATTTTGAAGAAGATCCCATGCCTGAGCCTGGAGGACAAGATCGGTCTACACGGCGCCAGCCCGCTTCTCATTGCCGCCAAGTATGGCCAGGCCGAAGCGGGCGTTTTCGGTGTTCTGGGTGTTGAGTCTTGAGGTCTGTGCTGCTCTTGGGCATTGCGCTGCAAAAATCCGCTACAGGTGGACATGGTCCGGTTCTTACTCGATGCTCGCGCGAAGGAGCGCCACGCGAGCAGAACTCTGAGTCAGGGCTGTTTGGGGCAGTTTCTGTGAAGTGCACATACCCGAAACCCTAAGCCCTAGGGGGTCGCTGCATCCCTCCCGGCTCCTTTTTCGCTCGTGCTCTGATCGTGCCTCTCTCTCTCACCTCGTAGCTGGCATTGCTATTGCTATCACTGTTTTTGTTCTTCTTATTGCTGCTATTCTTGTTGCTATTTTTATTACTATCCTGCAAGAGGTGCAAAATCCTATGCCACGTGAGTTCCACTTGTGGTGAGGATGAGAATTGCCTTGACCTAAGCAGCAGCTGCAAAACTCCCCAGTCTCCGCATGAGCATTCTCAGATTGCAACGTTCATCTGCAGCTGCAAACGCGCTATGTATTGTTTTTGGATGTAGGAGAGCCCGAAAAGTTCCAAGAAAGCATGCGAAGCTGGGCTGGACTGTGGCACAGCTCTCATCTGCAAACGGCTTCCAATGATCCCCTTGTTCAGGACACAGCCGGGCCGAGTGGAAGCACTCCACTCCAAGTCGCAGTGCAAAGTGGTATGGCGGACACGGCCCTCCGACCCACTTGCGGAATTGCTAGGCGTTTCAACACGTTCGGCTCTAGAACACAGCTTGTGCCGTAGCTAATTTGTGCATTGTGCGCAGCTCGACGGTGTGCTGAAGAGAGTGAGGTCTCGGTCTTGGTAGAGGCGTCAGTGGAGCTGGATAGACGCTCGGCAGCCTGGGAAGCCTCAGCCACCGCTGGCAGTGCTGTTGCGCTGGAGTGTTTTGATGGTTTGCATGTAAGGGCCGGGACTGCATGGTGCCACGGCCCTGCATCTTGGAATGGCATTTTTAGTGGTGAGGAGTTGGGAGTCGTTTAAAGGAATGCAGGGGATGGTATCTGTCCTCATCGATGAAGAGTCTGTCGAGACACGCTCAGGTTCAGTGCTGCCCAAGATGGGCACCTGAGGATAGTGCGTTGTTTAGTCCAGGCCAAGGCCAACCTGAATGCAGCGGCGGAGGATGGAGCCACACCCCTTTTCATTGCCGCCCAAAGTGGCCACTTGCAAACAGTTCGATTCCTGGCCAACGCTGGTGCCGACCTGAATAAGGTTGGACAGCACGGCGCAACAGCATTGTTTATCGCGGTGCTGAGTGGACAGCTTGAGATGGTGGAGGTTTTAGTCGAGGTCCGGTGCAGCCTAGACTCGGCGGGCCAGGACGGTGCGACACCACTTTTCGTCGCCGCCCAAGCGGGACATCTCGACATGGTACGCTGCCTGTTGCAGGCAGGCGCGGACACCGAGCGACTGGCTGAAAACGGTCAGTCTGCTCTAGATGCCGCTGCTGCCTCTTGCTTCCATGACGTAGTCGAAATCCTGCAAGCCTGCCCGGAAAACGTGTACGCTGCGAAGCAGTTTCGTTGCGAAGACCCAAAGACACAAAGCACAGCACACTCTGCTTCGGCTTGGACGTGGGGCAGGCCAACGCCGTGGTGCTGGCCATGGGTACCGCCGACCTTCCCATTCGGCTGGGCGTCCCAGGCAGCGTGCTCTCAAGTCCCCAAAGCATTCGTATGAGTCTTAGATATACGTTACTGAAGTTCTGACCTTGTGTTGAGCAGCCAGGCGAAGACCTGCCCTGGGTCACCCATCGTCCTCCGATTCATTCTCCTGCTTCTGGGCTGAAGAGAATTCAGCTTCCTGACACACCTACGCTATTCAAGCATATTCAGGCTATTCACTGTTATCTTGGCAGAGTCTTCATGAGGCTCTCATGGCGAAGCTTGGCCATCTGTTGGTGGTGGGCCGATGCCTTGGCAATACCCTGGCGGTCAAGCACGGAAGGTCTGAGGCAGTTGATTTTGCCGAGACTCCTTCTTTGCAAGCATGTCCATACTTCAGGTGCCGGTCTCAGCGCAGCGGACGCCATCCTCCACGCATTGCGTCAAGGTCGGAGCATCAATCAGTTTCACCGATGACAGCATGTTGGTTTTCTCCCGCGAGCTCGAACAGACTCTAACCCCACCTCAGCTTCTGGACCTGCAGGCCGGGTGCGGGTTACGCATGTGCCACCGAGCTGCAGCAATCTGTGCTTTGCAACTTGTAGAGCGTGTGTGTTTGTGTCTACCCACGCGGATGCTGTGGATAGAGGCAAAAAAAGCACCTCTCAGAGATCTATAACCACGGAGTCTGGCTTCTTCTCACTTTCTGGCCGTCGACGCAAAGTGGAACATGAGAGGCATTTTTTGAGATGCTTTCAGAGGGCCGAGGCCAGTTCTTGAGCCACCCAAGGTTCCGCGGCAAGGCAAAGGACACAAAGATTGGGAAGATGTGCCTTGCAAGCAGCGAGCAGCGTCTGTTCACAGCTACGGTAGCCGTAGCCAGTCTAGGTCACTGCAAAAGCCTTCGGACAGGTTTGGCACTGCGACGGGGAGCCCCATCTACGGCGAGGAGGAGTGGCTTGCGCAGCTCATGGCTGGCGAAGCTAACGATGAAAGATACCTGCCCCTGGCAGCTCGGATGGAACCATGTTCTCAGCGCCGCTCCCTTTTAAGCAAGCGCACGATGAGCACGCAGCCTTCTCTCTAGGCAGAATCGGAGCTCGTGGAGATTGCAGAGTCGGGCTGCCGAGTGCGTGGGCCACAAGAGCTGAGTCTCTCGGACGCCCGAAGCTCAGCCCCAGAACTTGCAACAGCCGAAAAACCCCTCTTACCGAAATGCAGGCCCTCAGCCTAAACCCCTCTTATGAAGCGCCGGTAGCCGAAACAGTCAGCCACCTCGAAAATCCCCTCTAAGCGCCAGCTCAGCCTCTTTAGAAACCCTTGTTGTTGTTGAGGTGAGTGTCGTGTCGTTGCTTCTGGGAGCTGCGCCCCGCCTCGACTGCCTCCCCACGTCGCTCCGCCCCGCGGCTCTGGCGCGCCCCCGGGCGCCGCGGCAGCGCACGGCCCGGCGAAGGGAACATGCCAATATAGTAGTTGTAGGGAGTGAGCAATAGTGTTCTGCTTGCAGGCGAGACAAGCTGCATGTTATGTATGTGTGTATATATGCACATAATCACATGTGTAGATGTGATGTATGTGTTTCTACAAACAAAAACATACGTGCATGCACGCAGGCACGCATGCAGGGCATGCACGGCGCGCGCGAACCGCGCGCGCACAGCATGCACGAATGGCACGTGCGGCACGTGCGGCACGTGCGGACAGGCACACAAGGCACGCACAGCACGCACAGTACGCCGGCATGTGCTGCAGGCACCGCACGTGCCGCACAGCACGCATGGACCGTACGCACCACATGCACCGCAAGGTACACATGGCGCACACCACAAGCACTGCACCCACGGGACTCATGGCACGTTGGTTCGCGACATTATACATCCACCATTTTAGGTCGGCTTCGGGATGGAGGGGACTTCTGAATTCTGAAGGTCTTTGCTATTTCGGATTCTTCATCGACAGGAAATGGTAAATCAATCGGGCAGCGGCCTAGAAATGAATACGTTTGTTTGCAGATGCAATAAAGTAGCTAAGTACGTATGTATGAATATTAGATATCTGAGTGCATATATAAATATACTCTATATGCATAGTGGCACCCTGACCCGAACAGGACGGGCAGCTGAGCAGCCATCCGCAGTTTTTGGGTGTCCATGAGGCTTGGGCTTTGGCGGCTTTTGGGAGTGGCAGACATGCCCGGGCTCTTGAATTTGAGTGAAGGCAACTTTGCAGCTGGCCGACGCTGAGACGGGTGAGGTGCAGCAACGTAGGTTGAGAGGGATTCGAATTCTTTGCGTAGGCGTTGTGCGAGGCACGTGCGCGTTACAACACGTGCTTGGTGCAAATGCAAGTGTGGTTGTCAACATCCGCTGATTGCTCTGTCTGTTGGCTACTGTAGAGTGTGTGGACATGATGCAGGCCAGCAGGCGTTAGAGTCGGCCAAACCTGGTTATCGTGTAGTTTTGCAAGCGCTTTCAAAGACATTCAAAAACTCGTAGTCTGCTTTGGCCAGGTGCTCTCGCCCAACGTCTTCGTTCCCTGGCTTCTATTCATGGAAGCTTTTGGTCTGGCAGTCATGCTGCAAGTACGGCAAGTACGGTGTGGGGGCGGAAAAAGGCCTTAACACCTCAGAGGCATCTGTTCGACTAAGGCTATTGGCCCTCTCAGAGGTGACAACTTTGTGCGTTTCCTGCTGCTTGAAATGAATGAGCACATTGCGTGGCCACTCCTAGACACAGAAAGATGTATCCCATCCGCGAGTTTAGGGCTGATGCTTGTTGTGTGATCGCTGAGGGTCGGCGACGCCTATGCCGTGCGCCGGCAGGTTCTCGCGACAGCAGGAGAAAAGAGCTGCTTCGTTTTGTCATGCCCAGGACTGTGCCATCTTCGCTCACATGTGGGAGCGTTGTGCAAATGTGTGAACACTTCCTTTGAGGATGCGCGTATGCGCAAAGTCTGAGATTGCTGTGCAACTGAGCTTGGAACTGAGAAAGCACCACAATGACTCGCCCAGGCTGGTTTGCCTTTCTTCACGCTGACCTACACTCCCTGAAGTTGCTCCTCTGAGGGCGCACGGCACATGGCACATGACCTGTCTCGGTTGTTGTGGACACTGCTGACACACTTTGTTTCTTACAGTCGCCATCAGCAGCAAGGTACCACGGGATGCACACATTTGGTATTTCCTGTGTGGCAGAAGCCCTCAGAATCGAAGCCACTCGCTAAAGCTTCAAAATGACGCAGGCGCTGTGACAGTACGCAAGCATCCTTGTCCCAGTGTAGGTTTTGAGATTCTGCTGCTATCCTTGGAATGATGTGTGAAAGACACTTGGAGACGGGTAGAAGACCAGCAGTTGTAGTTGTTGCCGCAGTCGCTCTGCAAGCCCACGCAAATTGCACCCACAGGGCTCTCTTGGGGAGACCAAATGGGCCACTAGCAGGCTTTGCTGTGCAAGCGCAGAGCAAGGAGAAGTGTTGATTGCCCAGTCATATCTGCCTTGAGACAACCCTGCGTACTGTGAGACTTCGAGCACCCACGGGCCTTCGGCCCTCTAGGCAGCCTGTCAAATGCTCGTAGGGCTTGCGATGCATGTCCTGCTTCCATGTGGATCACAGCTGTCGGGACCCGCGACCATGGACATTCATTGCGCATCATGGGCTACCTAGGCCTTCTGTGCTTTAGCCGACCTTAGCTGCGGGCCATCCATACGGAATGAGTGAAAGAGCTATTGCCATATCCTCAAGGACGGTGCAAGTATCCGCAAGTAATCGTCACGCCTCGCCAGAGCACTCAAAACAGCAGTTCTCCCGCCCCACAGACCAAGGGCAGGCCACCAGATGTCAAGCAACTTCAATCAAAGTCAAGCCCCTGTAAACGGAACGACGACAAAGTTTGCCGAAGGCCTCCAGTCCTAACCATTTGCACCATTACTATGGCATTAATCAACATCCGTGCCGTCGTGATTTCAGATGCCGGTGTCCCTGTCTCCGGTCTGCCGGTGGATCCAAGCCTTGTCTATGCAAAGGCCAATGCAACCCGCCGCACGCACCCATGGGCCAAAGCCACGATGGCGATTTACTCCCTCAAAATAGGGGCCACCCCGAGTTTACCACAAAATGCCTTAACCCTTGTATGGGAGTCACTTGGGGGGGGGGGAGGGTAGCAGATGTATATATGTATATTATACTGTATATTAGATATGAATGCATATATATATATATACATATATATATATATACATATATATATATACACACACATATGGCTTTTTCGAGGCGTCCTCCAAAATCACAGCACCACCCTTGTGGACGTCGACAACTTGTCAAACGCAGTAATACAGGAGCCCGCAAATCCCAATTTCAGGCAACAACAGTCAGCACACAGCACGTTGTGAATGAACATCGGGGTAAGTCGCGGCTCTCACGTGCGCGCGACACAGGGCACAAGCCTGAGTTTGAAGCATGGCTTTGCTTTGGTCCCTGTGCTCCTGGTACGTGTTTCCCGGTTCGCACACGGCTGTCAGTCTTTGAGGTTCCACTTCCTTTGCCTTCAATGGGGCAAAGCACATCGGTGTCAGCCGAGGCCACATGTCGAGGAGCAGGAGATAGCAGATTACTTCAGCGTGGTACTGTAGGGTTCCTCCGTCCAGGCAAGCCATGAGGCCGCAGCCGGAGGCTCAGACTACTTCGCAGCCGAGAAGCTGCAGTTTTGCAGCACTAGCACGTAGGAAGACTCATTTGGGCCCATGCCAGCTTTCTCTCATTATGACCGTTCTGGAGACGATTTGCGGGACATCGCTTTGTTGTCCAGATTGTACAGACTGCGGGTTTCCTTGGGTCATATTTTGCGTGAGCTGACCTCGTACTGCATACCTCATTTTCCTATGCCGCCATCCCGGCCAACGGTCAACCCGCCCAGGCTCCCAAAGCAGCGCCAAAGCCAGCGCTGCGTGCCGCTCGGAATGGCCCGCCCGAGTGCGCGACCCAATCTGCACTCTAAGTTGGGGGCTTTGCTCTGTTGAAGCGCCGGCGCGGTCTCGCATGGGCTTTGCGAGGCCCACCTCTCCATCGATGTTGCAGCAGGCGATGGATGCAGTGGTCGGCAGAAGGCCAGGCTTCTCCTTCACGGCTCCGGTGAGGAAAGTTTGCGTGCACTGGAGAGCTCCCAGGCTGGAGGAGATCGTGGAGGTTTCGAGCAGCTCCAAGCCGCTGGGCTCCGGGCCGCCGGCTTAGAGAGACCATGTTAGACGGGTTGAAGGGCTTGGAAGGGCCCTTAAAGGGCTTTGAGGGGGATGTGGGGGGACGAGAAAATGGGCTTGATGGGAGCGTGATTCAGCTTTGGGAGGTCTTTTGTTCTTGAAGTGACGCTGCGAATGACTCCGCACTGGCTCAGGGCGTTCGGGACAGTCTGGCGTGGTCGATACCTGGATGGTGTCTCGACCGCAAACGGGGCTTGAAGGGCAGTGCCTGCGCCGCAGCGCTCGTCAGGGAACCATCGGACATCGGAGGTAGAACCGATCAGCAATGCGAGCTTCCAAGAGCCCCTCTAAGCTTTGAAGCCCTGTGGCCCCTCCGGTGTAGCGAATGTAGAGGGGTCCTTCAACCCAAGAGTTCGCACGTGCCGTCAGGAGGCTGCGCCCGCAGCCTCAGTGGGTTGGAGGGTCCATCCCAGGAGTCTTCGCACGAGTCTTCGTACACTCGCAGTTTTCGCATGTTCCACTCAGCAGTGAGCCGCCATGTGGCAGAAGAGCTTTTGGTAGCGGTCTGGTGATTGCATTGCTGCGGAACATGGGAATATGCCGAGGCTGTCGCAGTGAAGTCCCTGGACAAAGCGAAGATGAAGCAAATGAAGGCCCTGAGACGTCGCCGAGCAATGAAGCTGTTGCCATCTGATGTCTGTTGCTATCTGTTTCTCCCAGCTGTCGCTGCGTTCACCAAAGGTTCCAGACACGTTGGTCACGGCCGAGGTTGAGTTCATGCGTCCCTTCCCTACTCGTAGGTTTGCGGAGGTTCCTCGGCGTTGTAGACTTAGCTTCAACGCACCTTCAAAGCTTCAAATCAATTTCAACTCGCCAAGGTGAATGCAAGGGCCAGCCCTGGTTCGTCCAGCTCTACGACTTCCTGGAGCCTCTCCCGAAAACTCAACGGCGCAGTCACCAGCAATCGCCGTTGTGCACGTTGCGAACCGTCCAACATTCCAAGTGCCAATCGTTTTGCGTGCAGGACACTAGAGACAAGTTTTACCTGCTGCTTGAGCTGTGCAACGGAGGGAACATGGAGGCCATTCGGCTTGTTTGGCGCTGCCAATACTTGTCATCGGCTTTTGCGCAGTTTGCCAGGATGCAGCCAGAAGCCTGGATGGCGGTCTCAGCGAAGCGCGCTGTGCGGCCTTCATCAGCCAGCTTCTGTGTGGAGCTCGGGGAAGGGCAGCGTGGGTGATTTGCCAAAACTGTACATTTGAGGTCTGGTATTGCTTTCCTCCACTCCCGCAAGATTTGCCACCGCGACGTCAAGCCACAGAACGCAATGCTTCTAGGCTGGGTAATCCTGCACTTCAGACACCATTAGACATCCAAAGATGTCCGAACCCTTCTGGAGTTTGCTTGTGGCATTTGGCCACTCATTTTTGCAGGTGATGTCCGAGACACCAGGTCCCAGCTGCGGCTCGGAGACTTCGGGATCGCCCGGGGCCCCAACGTCCGCATGAGTCTCAAGTGCTACTTTGCTCTGAGAAGCTTTTCCCCTCCACCCCTTCTCCACCCCTTCTCCACCTTTTCTCCGGGTTCTAAGGCCGTGCGGCTGACCTCCGGGCAGCTCCTCACAGAGAAGTTGGGCTCGATGCTGAGCCGATGGGGACGCCACGAGCCCTGCCCTTTCTCTGCGCTGTTTTTGAGGCACACCCGCCTTCATGGCACCGGAGATGTCAGAGACCTGAGATGATTTTGGGGGGTGCGCAAGCATTGCATGGCGAGCGCAAGTGGCTGGAGCAGAGCCTTGAGGCACATGCTGCCCAAGTCGAACGGCTATGATTGCAAGGTGGGCAAAATGGAAGAACGAGAGCACACTGATCTAGGCTGTATGACAGTGGTGTGGCACGTCCACAGCATGTTGGCATGAGCTGCGTACAGATGACATGCAAGCTGGGCATGTTTGTGAGGTGGATTTGTGGGCAGCAGGGACCTTCATGGTTTTCCTCTTGTCCTTGGAATATCCGCGGCCTGTCTGCACTCCTACTAGTAGATTGCCATTCTACGTGCTGTGCGCTGCACGCCCCCATGCAGAGAATCGCTTGCCACGCCAACATCAGGTTCGTGGACCCAAGCGGCCGCCTTCTGAAGAACGACCTGCTCAGAGGATGCTCCGTGGGCCCATTTAATGGATGCGTCTTGCTTGTGTGCTATGGTGCAGAGTCTGCTTGTGAATCCAGGTCCACGCCCCCAGTCTCCTTCCCACGGCTCCCCTCTGTTGTTACATGGGGGTTTCCGAAATTCGGGATACCTTTTTGGGGTCCTTAGTATAAGGGAATCCTACCATTTGGGGATTTTGTATTGGGGTCCCCTATTTTCGTAAGCCCCGCACAGCTTGCGGCAAAGCCGAAGCCCCAGCTGCCCTCCGCGGCCATGTGGCTTGTCAACTCGGCAGTGCCGAGCCGTGCGAGTGCCACGAGTGCTCCGAAACAACCGTTCGAACCTCCATTCATCCATCTTCCTTCAGTGGGCGCGCGTTAAAAGCACAGCTACGACATGCACCCAGCTGCAAAGACTCTGTCTGTGGAACCTGACTTGTTTTGAAGACGCCCTCCCCAGATCTTTAGTCCTTTAATAAGCCTACACGGCCTAAACCCTTCAGTTGTTGGCTGTGGGCGTACTGGCTGTCAGGAGACTTGCCTATTTGGGAGGGGAACGCCTTCCAGAGTCTCTTCCGGAATGTTCAGGACATGCCCGGGCTAGTCCAAGAGAGCGAGAGAGAGAGGGCGTCTTGCAGCAAGTGTTGCGCAGAGCCGGGGGGAAGCCATGTTTACAGCTTTGAAGCAACAAACGTGTGGAACCCCAAAGGAAGCTGCCGGCCTTCGTCGGAAGAGGCAGTTGAGCTTCGGTAGATCGTGGTGTCGGGCCGCACGCAGTATAATTTTAACGCTACGCGACCCGCCTCGGCCCGGCCCAGCGCATCCGCGTGAGCATGGTGATTCCGCAGCGCCCAAGTCGCTGGACCCCAAGCAATAAGGGTTTGGTTCAGGGTTTAGGGTTTAGGGTTCCGGGTTTATGGTTTATGGTTTAGTTTAGGATTGAGGGCTTAGGGCTCAAGGTTCACGCTTTGGGGTTTAGGGTTTTTTTGGGAGCAGGGTTCAAGACGGTTGGGCTTGGATTGATCGTAGGGTTGAGCCAGGCCCCTCGTTGGGGTAAGGGGAGTGGGGGGGGAACGAGTGCTTCGGGCTTTTGGTTTGAGATGTTTGGTTCAGGGTTTTCGCTCAGACTCAAAAAACCCGCTCACCAACTGCAGTGCGGGGAGGGGGGAGGGGGGGGGGGGGTGCTTGTTTGTGGGAGGGTGGGGGGGGGGGGGTCGGGGGGGGGAGTGTGGGGGGGGGGGTGTGGGCGGGGTGTTGGGGGGGGGGGGAGGGGGGGGGTGCTGGGAAGGGCTGCAACAAGGGCTGCAACTGCCTCTGGTCCTGGCGAACCATCCGCTTGCGGACCCTTGCTCACCTAGGGGGGGTACCCATTTGAGGCAAAAAAAGGGTCCGAAAAAGGGCTTTGGGCGTGGGGGGAGGATTTGGAGGGGGGTGCCTGTTCTGACTACCTATACACCTTCGGCCCGAGGCCTCGGCGGATTGTAAGAGCTTGCGCGCACCTCGCCCGGGAATCCAAAGTCATATGTCGCTTGGTGCAGGGAAGACACGTCATGAGTTCATGAGGTATTACATCTAGGATGGTCCCAAGAGGGTCCAGGGGTGTCAAGGGAAGGTCTGGAAGGCTGTCTGAAGGGGGCTGCAGGTGTTGGCCTCCAGGAGCTTCAAAACCAATGTTCCAAGAAAGATTCCGAGGGGTGTTCGAGAAGGTTTCAGGGTTGGCGAGCCCTCTGTGGGAGCGGCCCACAACATGCGGCTCCTGGTGAGCGGGGGGGGTGGGTGGGAAGTACCACCAGTTACTTACTAGTTACCTGGAATGGAGCATGCCTTTGATCACTTACCTGCAGCTGCAGAGGGCTCACGGAGGCTAAGCCTCGTGATCTCGAGCCCCCCCCAGTTATAAACCCAAATCGACGGCCGGCTGAGTGCAGGTCGCAGAAGACCACCACACCCAAACTTCCCAAGATACCCGACAGCCTACCCCGAAGCACCCGAGGCATCGCAAGAACACCCGAAACATTCCGAAGCCCACCTCTTTACATCTCCTCGTTACATCATCTTACATCCGTGTCTTGGCCATGGCGCTTGCGCTGCCGAGCAGTGTTCGCCCCGTGGCCTTGCACCCGGGGCATCTTGGCACATCTGACCCTTCTCGTTGATGGGACAACTGGACAGAGGCATGTGAAAGTGCTCGGTCTTTTTGGCTTGCGTTCTCCGTGAGTTCGGAGTTGATAGTGGGGGGGGGGGACTCTGATGATTTTGTTCCCATCGTGGTAAGGCAAGCTGTGCCGGGCTCGCCACATCGAAAGATGCAGGCGTGGCCCGGCTGCACCTCGGGTTCTGCAGGTTACGTAAACTCTTCCTGGGCACCCTGATGGCATGCACGGAAGACCGGTCCTAGGTCCCGGACGCTGCCCATGCTGCAAGTGGCCGGGGCGCAGGCAAAACACCCACGTGCGTGCTTATGCTCGCTCTCCGTCATTCTCTGTCACCCGCTATCTCTTATTCCTGGTGGCTTTTGGCTCTGACTCTCTCTTGCTCTCGCTCTCACTCTCTGTCTCTCTCGCTCTCTGCCTGTGTGTCTTTGCCTGCTTCTCTCCGTCTAACTCTCTCTGTGCTTCTTCATCTATCTCATCCTTTATTCTGTGAAGGTGGGTCAGCAAGGCAGAGCACAGCCCTTCCACTGCCACTCTCCCACGCCAGACGCCAGGCCTTGAAGTCGCTGGTGGGCGCTCCCCAGGCGTCGTCGAACCACCAGCTGGTGTGTGCCGGGGCACAAGAAGAGAGCACTTTGAGTCCATCTTGGGCCTTAGTCACTTGCCGCGCTCTCTCTCTCTCTCTCTCTCTCTCTCTCTCTCTCTCTCTCTCTCTCTCTCTCTCTCTAGGGAGATGGGAATATTGGCGTAGGATTCCCAACAAACATCAACAAACACTTTGATAGACCGAGCCCAAGCGAGCCTTAGACTGCATGCTGTGCTGGAAGACAGCTGCGTAGTTGCCCAGGCGCCAACCAGATGCACATCCACAAGCAGTGGTCCCAAGGCCCCGGCAAATTCTCGATCATTTTGTCAGACTTCACGCGCGCGCCTCTTTTGGATTGTCGAGGCACTCAGAAGGACTGGCTTCCCAGACCCGATAGTCTACCGGCCGGGCATCCGCTGCTCTACCGGAGCCTCCAAAGCCGCTTTGGCTTCAAAGCCTCAGGCTGGTGGGCCCCATTCGAAGCAGATGCCAGTACGTAGAATTCCTGAGAGAGCTCGGAACCCCGGGCTCTCCTGTGACAACACGTTGTGCCCACCACTGAGACTGGCGCGAAGATGGCCGCCAAGGGTCCAAGCAGAGCAGAGGACCTGCACGGTGCACCAGCATTTGGAGTGGAGGGTCTTCCATGAATTCCATAAATAAGAGCGCAACCTACAGCAAGATGCAGTCAAATTCATGTGCATGTTGGCAATGGTCGTTCCTTCTCGGCTTAATCGACCGTCACGAACTGCAAACTCACCTATCGACAATCTCAACATAAGAAGCCATGTGTGCAAGGCGATGCAAGCTTCATACGAACCTCCAAAGTCTGCTTCATGTATCCACAGAAGCGCGAGCTCAAAGACTCCAGTATTAGACAAGCAGCCTTATGCCGACTCGGGGGGCTTTCATGACGTGTATCCACTTGCAGGAACGCAACATGTTCTATTACTCTTGTGGAAAGCGTTTCATGGCAGAGCTGTCGCCGATCTGTTTTGTCCCAATCCCTCCGGCGCACCTCACCATGTTTCTGTCAGTTTACGTGAGTTCGGCCTTCAAACCACTCGTAGGAAGGCTGTCAGCTGTTTGCAAAGCAAACCCAACTGCACAGAGAATTCTATCACTGGCACAGATGACTATGATTTAGATGAAGCACTTCTTGGCTGCGTGTTTGGAAGACGCATGAAGACGTGCTGTCAACTGTACAGTCGCAAAAATCATCCATGAAGCAGTGCGAGCCCCGAAGCTTTGTGTTATGAAGCGGCCAATGCTTGGTGGACGCTGCGGTACGCCGTGTGAAATGACGAGTGTTTGGCCGTTAGAGGAGACCTGTAAGCCGAAACATGAAGACTCGCAGGGTAAGGTGTCCAACATATAGCAATATTGTAGCCAGTGTCTTCGTCTTAGACCATGTAAGTACGTTAAGTTAAGTATGTGAGGATCCAAGTAAGTCGGAAGAGAGCTGCATCTCCTTTGCAAGAAGGGACTTAATGTATGTGACACCAGAGCAGCCTGAGCAGCCTCGTGATTGAAATCATGACGGCTGTTCCCCAGCAACTTTTTGGCAGTGGCTGCAGTAGCACGTGTTGAGTGAGCTTTGTGCAGGATCTGGCTCTTCACCGCCAACGAGAATGACGTCGAAGGACCGTTGCAGCAGCACTTGAGAGCTTCCTTGCAACTGGACCTTCCCGACGACCTCAGTCAACCTCCAAACTCCCCGAAACCTAATCTTCCGAAGCCTCTCCAACAAAACCCTAAACCATACGAGTTGCTAAGCCCGAGCACATCCGAAGCCCTTGCCCTCAAATCCTGGAAGCCCGAAAATCCATAAACAACCCTAAACACCCTGAGCCCTAGAGTTGCCCTAAACGGCCCACTAGGTCCCCTCCTGCCTCGCAGCCCCAGCTGAAAGTGTGTCAAGGCCAGCGTGGCGAGGCACAGCTCAAAGCAATCCGCGCCCCGGCCAAAAAAGCACCGGTGCCGTAGGTTTAGGGTTTCGGGTTTCAGGGTTTCATGGGGTCCAAGGGTTAGGGTGCCGGAGTGTAAGTGTAAAAATTGGGCTGGTTGGGGTCGGAGCACGGCACGGGCCTGTGCCTGTGGCGAATCTTGTGCATTTCATGAGGAAATGGCGTGTTTTGAGGGCTCCATGTCTTCACATCAACGTCCGAGATGTTCCGGGTTCAGGATTCGTTTGCTGAGTTCGGGGCTTGCACAATCCCCCCTGCCAGCGCTGAGTTTGCGAGGTCAGCGCGGCCAGATTTGGCTCCAAGCAATCAGCTTCTGTGCTGAATCTGTGATGGGGGTTGAGGGGGGGCGGGCCTGTCAGCTTGATTCTTCATGCAGTTTTCTTACCAGTAGTATACCCCCCTCACCACGCACACGCACACGCACTCGCACACGCAGACGCACACGCACATGCACATGCACTCGCTCATGCACGCGCACACGCGCCTGCTTGCAGGCTGGCACGCGCGCACCAGGCAGCGCCATATCTTGTCACGGCATTGGTTCCGGTAGATGTGAGTCTTGAACCACTTCGCTGCTGCCCAGGTCATGACGCGAACATCCCATGCTGAGTCCCGCAATGACTCCAAGCAGTCGGTAGCTCTCTTGCATTTTACACTCGGTACGCTCCTCTCGCGTGATGGCTTGCTGCTTGATCCAAGGTTCATACGACGAATGCGATGGCCCAGACCTTCTCATCAAGCATGGCCCACACCTCCTCGTCAAGCATGGGCGCATTGGCTCTGGCCACCTCCAACGCGCTCACGCATGGGGTCAGTCGCCTGTCGGATGGGGTTGTTCTTGCTGGCACATGGGGTGTCGCAGTGTGAATGGGGAAGCATTTTTTCATTCCGATCATTTGGAGTTTGGCTTCTGCTCCTGCAGCAGCTGAGCACTTGCGGGCTGCAAAATCCTGCGAGCCCGTAGAGTCTAGGGATTCCTCATCAACCACATGTCTAAGACATGTGGTTGATGAGGAATCGGCTGCACAT